CTCTGCTTCACTTTTTACAGAAATACTTTTTATCAAATGTTATAGAGAATTTTACGACGCATCTTTTAAGAAAACAATCAGGTCTAAGAGTTGAAAATAAAAAAAGTTATAATCAAAATACGAATGGGGTCAGAACTTAGTGAACACCCTTTATGTCGTGGAGTTTTCCAGAATATTCGAAGCAAACAATGTTCTTGGCACGTTCGAATGATTTTGAAAGGACTAAAAAATGACCGGGATGCTGTCATTTGTGTGTGTTGGTGTGTGCGTGTAATTTCTTTCGATGATCAAACCCATATCCACCCTTATTGTTTGTTAATTCTTGTTGAAGACATATTGAATTAAGCTTTGGTTTTTATTCTCTTTGACAGAATAAAAGAAAAATATTGATTTTCATCTTAAAATAGTGAATGAATAATATGATCATATTTAATAAAATTGCAATTTTGATTCATGCGATCAAAAATCTTCTTTGCTATTAACTGTTGTATTTATGATAATAACATAAAACAATCCAATATTGTTATAGCAGTACAATAGTTTCGTAGAATCGTTATTATAGAATGTAATATTACAAGAAACATTGAATGATGTAGTTGTAATTTGAAATATTACTGCGAAGAATATCTCATGTTTAAGAAAATATTTAAAAAGTGTCAATCAAAAGACTTTTTTGGTGAATATAAAATATTTAAAGGAAGAAGTCATTATATTGACGAAAAATTTCAAATCGAGAGTACTTTATTCCATTTGTCTAACCTATGATAAAAATTAGTTTTTAAAGAAATACGACTGTTCCCTACTGATCACGTCTACATAATTGCTAGTTACGCATAATGTGAAGTAAGAACGTAACTACTATTTATTCTCAATCAATTATCATAAATTATAACTATATTTTAGTAGTTCTTATAGAAAAAGACATACATTTTTCAGGATATCTTCGATACTTTCGATTTTTTTATTCGAGAGATAAAACAATATTCATTCCAAGCAGTGTCTATTGCCTGCAAAAAGTTTTCAGTTCGACCGACCATAGCATCGAAAAAGAGAAAGAGGAATACTCTTAATCTATTATCCATTATCCATTTTGATTGTCTTAGCTTTTCTATGCTCACAAAATCTAACTCACATTCACATATAAGGATGCAGGTACTCCTCTTGTACAAAAGAAAATTTATGTAAAAAAATACGCTCTCAATTCATGAGAAATTCACATATAGACATTATCAATTAATATTATTGATATTATACTGTATCAAATCAAATCTGGTATATATGCATTTGGTAAACTTGCTCGTGAGATTTATTGATTACACTCAGATAACAATGATAAACATTTAAAAGAACAAGAAATTTTATTTCAACACTGTTTGGTACTTAATCAAAATGAATGATCGACATTTAATGAATTGGCAGAAGCCATAAATATATTTTAAAATCTAAATCACATTGATGATGTTTGTATTTTGTAGGAATAAAGAACATTTAATTTTTACATGAAAATATATATAAGCAAAAACAACAAAGATTTTTGCTATTAATGTTAATAATAAAAAAAAACAATAAAATAAAATAGCAAGATTAGTATCTAAAGACAAATAGTCAAAAGTGAATGATCTTTTTCAAATTGAGATGAAAAAGAAAAAAGTGTTTGTTAATCTATGATGATGTTAAAAATGACATGTTTATGATAGATAATAATACATATACAAAATATTACATAGATTATCAGTCTAGAAGAAATTCGCTTGTTAATACATCGTAAATATTTATTAAACAATTCTGACAATGATTTTATAATAATCAAGGTATAATTTGCTAATACTTTTAGAGTATGAACTTTAGCTTATATATAAACTGCAATAGAACATCGAATTAGTAAGTTTGATTGTATTATTTATTTATGAGTTCCTTATGTATTCAAAACAGTATTTATGAAGAGAAAGTAAAAAATAATTACCGATAAATTTTATGATGCATAGTGTTGATAATTTTTTTTGTATCTATATTAAAATTAGTAATATAATAAATCCAAGTGAAACATCTATTTTATGAACTGTAAATACAGTAAGAAAGGTCAAAATAACATTTGTATAAATAGTAATTTAGTTTCGAAGTACAACAATCCTTGCAATATCTACTTCAGATTGGTGAATGTATTAATTACACAGCAGCTCAATATATTCATTGTTAGTAAAAATAAAAGGACCCTGAATCATTTATTTATTTCAATAAAAATTGTCAATCGATTTATATGAATTCCGAACATCAAAACAAACTTGAATTTCCCAATGAGTCGATGGAAAAATAACATTTCATGTTTTAATACAGGGTGTCTCATAAGTTGTGGCAGATTTTTTTAAATCTAATTTTTGATGATAATGAATACAAATCAAACTCAAACTTACACGTATCATACAACTTAACATGTACTTTTATTTCATATATTTTATTTGAATTTAATCATTGGATATACAAAAAAATAAAGAAATTGGTACATGTGCAAAATAAGCACACCATCAATGTGTTACAATATATATACCCCGACAAAAGTTTCACTCTGTATTTCTCATATATTGTCACTATAAAAATAAGTTATTTTAAAACTAATTACATATTCTGAAAGCTCGCGGAGTTTTCTATCATTCTGTAGAATTAGGTTTTAGTTTTGACCTTTTCATTACCAAAATAAATTGAAGACAACGAAGGCACCCTCATGTCCAGATTCCCAGACTTGATCTTTCCTTCGTCATCAAAACTAGTTTTAAAAATTTTTCATCAGTATAGAATGATCTGTATGAAAAAGTAACTATAGATTCTGATAGAGCTTAAAATTCTCTATCACCCTGTCTATTTACTTATTTTCTTGCGTTTATAGATTGAAATAAAATTGAATACAATGAATATACTCCGAATCGACTAGCCCAAAAAATTTGCATTTTTTTTCGCTACTTAAATTTAAGACACTGTATTAATACATAATATCATAGAGCATTTCAAGTGCTATCAGAATGTGTGATTTCTTTTGTAAAAACTTACTCCCATAGGAATAGTAATTGGAGAAAAAACTAACAAAGTAGCGAAAAAATGCAGACTTTTGATATTTGTCAATGGAGGGTATGTTCATTGAATTTGTTTATTTTCTTGTATATTCAATGATCTAATCCAAATAAAATATATGAAATAAAAGTACATGCTAAGCCGTGTCATATGTATAAGTTTGAGTTTAATTTGTATTCATTATCATCAAAAATTAGATTTAAAAAAATCTGCCACAACTTATGAGACACCCTGTATGTTGAATGCCTTCTAATTCCATATGAACAGAGCTCATTGATCTGTCATTTGTCAAACGAATGTTGACGAAAATTCTATGATAAAACTCGAGAAACATTACATATGATTCATCTTTTCTTAACCTTAGATTGGTGTGTATTTCTAAACGTTATTTAAAAAGATAAGACAAATACAAAATTCATGTTATTGTTCTGATAATTGTGATGTGGTTGTATACACAGTTAGATCAATTGCAGTTTTGCCAGATGACTACAATTGTAATATTATTCCAAAGTGTTTAATGAATATTTGTCAAGTTTGCAAGAATAAAGCTTCAAAATGAAATTTCAAAATGACTCTTTGCTTTTTTTATAAATTTGATTCATGTCGAATTATCATCAAACAATTCGATTTGCTTCTATTTTGTTTCAATAAATAACTACATAGCATAGAATTAGAGATAGAAATATCTACAAGAAATATTGTCATTAAGATAATTGAGAAGGTAAACATTATTATTTGAAAACTCTTCGTAAAACTTGAAGACTTATAACGTTTGCAATTTCTTTAATACATCTTACATTCAATATCAATACATATAGTGGATATGTATTTGTTTTTGGAGAGATGAATCTGAAGGGTGTGGGTGTTGCTTTGTCTATTGTGTTCGACATTCACACCCGCAAAACACTAGCTGATCATCGCATCTGGAACAAACACATGCATAATCTCTATCTAATGAACTATTTTGCTTGGAAGTATGTTTTCTCAATGCTCAAGAACAAAGATCAAACAAGTAATTAGTGAACTATTTCATTTGAATTTATTTATACAAATAATTTTAATAGAAATCTTTGCATTTTAGGTATAAGAGGATGACTATTAAATTGGGAAATATACGCTAGCTACCAAAAGTTGCTGTTGAAATATTATGACTTATGATGTTTCAATTAATGGAATACTACAGGATCTACTCATTATACATGGCATCATTACAAATCCATTTTTACATGAAATCTAAATCATATACCATTAAGAGTATTGCTCTAATGAACAATTAGATTCAAACCTTGATAAATATTGTTCATTTTAAACAAAACTCTTTCAAATGAATCCGGTACAATCTTTAATAATAACAATGATGTAGAGTTTCTTAACTATTTATTGATTTTGATTGTGTATGAAATAACATTTTAAAGAAAAAAAAATAGCGTTTACTTAAATGTATCGTTCTGTCGAGAAGGAATTAAAGCATGCATATTCTCAAGAAAATAGAAATTTCAACATGTTGCCATGGTCGAAGGACAAAAAAGAAAAAAAAATGCTTTTTGGTTTTTTTTCTTTCGTCTTCAAACACACTTATTTATTCCATCCTGTACGAATTTATAAAACAAATATTGTATGAGACACACACTATTACTTAAGATATCTCAATTGCTTGAAATAAAGACGATGAAAAATAAAAATAAAAAGATGTTGCAGTCAGTGTACCATATAGTGACAATATTCCTATTATTATGTTTCATTTCGATTTCTATCTGCGAGTATGGTTGTGGATCTAATCTGTCCACTGACACACAATCATGCCCCACAAACACCTCCACTGACATCCCACCCTTATGCTACGCAAGGTCATCTGACACTGATTCTCTAAAAAAGAAAAACGAAAAAAAACACTGGTGATTGTTATAATTAATCTGTCGATAATTGATGAAAGAAATTTATTCACATTCATGGATATTGAGAGTTTGCATAGTTCGTACAACAAGTTGATGTTTACCCCAAGAAACAACATTCAATGGTTTTGAAGAATAATTCTCGATTTTAAGAAGTGTTCCATCATTGAGTATATAAATGCATCGATGGTTATATCTATCAGCTACTATCCAATATCGATGATTGAATAAAGAACATCTATATCCCCATCCTTGCCCAAGTACAATCATCCACATACACTCGAAAGATTTTATTGAACGAATTTCCAAATGACTTTGATTGGTTAATCCATTTTCGATAATTATTCCAAGATTGTTATCACTATATTTAATATCATTAATCATATCATTTTCATCAGATATTATTTCTGATTGATATCGTCTCTGAAAATGAATAGATGGATAAAAATTAAATTCAGCGATAAATGGATTTTGTCCAAATGTTGATAAAAATAAAGTTGATTCAGAACATGTACCACGTTCCCAAGTACTATCAGTATTAAAATATATGTTATATGGACTAAGAACCATTGTTTTTTCGTCAAGAGTAAATATTTCTTTCGAAGAAATAAAAATAAATTTGTCAAGAGTTTCTGACCAACAAATATCTTTTATTCCTGGTTGTTGAAATGATTTTTGGTGAACAATATTGAAATGTTGATTGAATAAACATAAATTTACTTTTCCAATAGCTAATATATGCATTTGATTAGTAGCTAATGTAAACCAATTATCAGATGAAAACTCGATCATTTCCTTAGGTAATATTAAATTAGGATAGAAACAATTTTGTGGAGATAGAGAATATTGATAAGAGACAGTTTCCATTGAAGAAAAACAAGACTTATTTGATGAAGATGAACCAAAAAATGTATCAATTTCTTTTTTGAAAGATAAATGATTAGATTGTGAAAATGAAGGAATTTGAATATGTTTCATTGGAGATGGAAGAGAAATAATCGATTTATCGATTTCTAATGAATGAAATTGATATTGAATATATTTAAGTTGATCAAGATTTTGTTCAATTAGTACAATTGTTTGTTTAATCAAATCAAGATTCTTTTCAGTTTTATCATAATTATTAATCATTAAAGCTGTTAGAGTTCGAAGATGATCGAATTCTGTTTTGGTTCGATTGATATATTTATCAGATAATTCTTTACAAAACTGATCAATTATTTGATGAGATTCGCAACGCCATTTTTCAACATTTTTAAGAAATCTTAATTCATTAATTGAAATATTGTTTATTCGATGATTAAGTTCATTTAAACTCTTTAATATCGATGAATTTCCAATATTTTTTTCTAAATTATTAATAGAATTATTCTGTTGTTCACAATAATTAGAGGAAATAGACGAAAATGTTTTACATTCATTAACATCACATGGCAATATTGTAGATGAATTCATTTCTTTTCTTTGAATGAATTCGTTTTATGCATCTCAAAACAGATTCTTGAGAAAGAAAAAGAATAATTTTCTTTTCTTGTGTATTTTTAAAAGACTAAAGTAGATTTTGTTTAATTTGAAATTTGAAAGCATAGAAGTATAAATAAAGTTATTGAATAATACTGGCTTTGTTTGATCAAATCTATTTATAGTTTAAATAAAACTTATTGACACAATCTCTATTGTAAAAATACACGACATCTTTTCATATAACTGATGATTTCGTATTGTTTAATCTTTGTAGTCTACAATCTACAAAAACAAAAGCATTGATAAAATGTAAAAATTTGAAAAGTCGATTTAGAAATAAACTCAAAATGAATCGAATGATTTTTAACTAAATGAAATCAAGTTTTCATATTCCATATATGAATGTTAAACCATCATTTTATTTGAGTGCACAGGGCTGGCCCGATAGGGCGTTGTGACAATTCCCCAATAATCGAAAATTTTCGTTTTTCTCCAGCGAAAATGAAATTTTTTTCTTGAGTACTGTTAGAAAAAAGTTTTATTTGCATTACAAAAATTCGAAACAACCCCCGAAAAAATCGTGACAACCCCCCAATATTTGCTGACTCGAACCAGCCCTGTGAGTGCATCATTATCAAAATAGCAAAAGAAATCTAATACTAATTGGTTTTCGCTTATTATTCATATTCCATTTCTTTATTAATACTATTGGCGCTGATTAGAATAGAGCTGTAGCATTGAATAATTGAAGCACTTTAGTTTCTTTCATCATTTCTTTAGTAATATGTATATCATCTATTAGACTCATACTACAATACATTTCTATTTTTATATTTACTATTTAATTTAATCTACTGATTTTTTTGATTTATCAAAAAGCTAATTATTGTGATAATTGATCGTTTATTCAATTTACAGATTATTCATTGTTTTATTGATTATTTCATTTATTTTACCGGCAACTTTAATGTAGCCTAAAATTTGCAACCAAAAAAAGAAACAACGTATGCTTTGATGATATTCTCATGATTATTTTGCGTACATTGTGATGCATATCTTTTTTGTTGTATAAGTATCGTAAAGCTGTATGAAGGACGAATAAGAGAACAAGCAAAACAATGACCAAAATTTTCAATCGCAAAAAAAACAAGATATGCATTGAAATTATTCTCATTATTTTTTCGCGATACAGTTGAATACGCAAGGCATTACATATTTTTCAACGTATATATAAGCAACATTATGCTTTAGTTTGAAGCACAAAAGCGACGACACAGTACAGTGATACCATCCTTCTGGATAATAAGTGTAGATGAGATTTTACTGTCCTTAAGTAGTGGCAATAACATTGTTTGGTGTTGTTTTCCTACTATGGCAGTTAACTTTCGTTTGAAGAATTTCAGTTTATAGGAATGAAGCTCTCGAATTCAAATAATGTTGAGTAGCTAAGGAGATAGAGCCTTAGAATTATTCCACCATATTTAAATGTACGTATATGAGCTCCCTTTTCAAATGAGGAATTGAACGGTATGGAAGTTTTGAGATTTATTCATATATATTTCTAAGGCGCCGAAAAAGCACTATTAAGGGGGAACCCCCCCTCAGAAACCTATCTTCTAAACGGTTCAAGAGATTTCGATGAAAATTTCAGGAAATAGAAAAGTTAATGTAACTAGCATCTGATAAAAATTTGAACCAATCATTTTTGATAATTGAGGAGTTATACTTAATTTACTCATGAAAATGGGGCTTTTGGCACGGAACATTTTCCCGAGGCGCGATAGCATGGAAAATGTTGAAATTTGTTTCAAAATGAAGAAAAATCTTTTATCTAGAAATTGTGGGGACAGTTTTTTGAAATTCATCTTTGTTCAATAGTAGTGATCATTTTAAATCGAAAATCGAAAAAACTGCTTTGATCTCTTTCAAAAATTTTCTAATATCTGAACAACGGAGATATATTTTAGAAATCTGTTCCCACAATTTCTAGAAAGAAGTCTCATCTTTTGAATAAAAAAAATATCAGCAGCGTACGTCAAACAGTGGACTGGGAAAATGTTCCGCAGTGATCAGTAAACGATAAAAAAGTGAAGCTGAGAAAAACGAATAACAACATTGCGAAGTAGTTGATGATGTTCCTGTGTAGAAAGTTGGAGCATATTATATATCATTGGAAAGTGTGTAAAAAGGTCTTGCAGTTGATGATGCTTTCAAGAAAAAATTAAGCTAATTTCTAAATCCAAGTTTACTGTAGCGCCACCTTTTCGAAAAATAACCTAATTTTGAAGCTTCCTTCTCTGACTGCAACAGGTAGAACATGATTACTTGATACGTCGATGGTTTTATACTTCTGATAAAGAAGATGGAACGATATTAATTACCGGTAACTAAGGAAAAAAAATCAACACAACAGTCGATTTTCCACTATGACTTCCAATAGACGCCCAGAATTTGGCAAAATACGTTCCATTCTTATATAATTTATACATATTCTGAAAGAGGACACTCAGGGCTACTAGAATATGTGTTTTTTCAAAAATCGAGTTTTTTAAGAAAAATCGACTTTCTGAGGGGGGGTTCCCCCTTAAAGCAAAAGTTCATGTATAACTATATAGTGAGATAGAACGTGATGGACTGTTCAAAACTATGTGTTTTTGTTTGTTGGTATTAGTCTTTGCGATAAAAGTTTACATTTCTGTCGATGGCATGCTTGTTATAAAAAAAAGTTAACTATTGATAACTGTAAAGTTGTCAGTTTCTTTTCTTTCGTTTGAGTTTCAAATTTGCTTATTTCAGATTTAACGTGACAAACTGAATGTGTGAAATTAATTTACGAAGCGATTTAGATATGATATAATCATGATTCAGATACTATTAGGATGGACGGATCCAAAGTTCGGTCGAACATTCTATAATGGGGCAATTTTGTTGCAAAAGTACCATATTGATATCGATTTTCTGCAAATGGAAGGAAACTTTGAGCACTTGCAGTACTTAAGCTTGTAAGCATAGCTGTGAATTCAAAAAATTTGAAAAGCGTGTAAATAGATCAGAATAGAGGAGCAGGGTGGGTCTCTCAGCCGAACTGAACCGTCGCCACCTCCTCTGTTTCAAACGATACAGGATAGATGTGGGCATAGATGTAAACAATTCTTTTCGTTACTAACAACTACACCTCATACCCACATCTGATTCGCACATATATCTTATGATCGTTGATCAACATATTTAACGCGATCATATCCTTTCAGTTGGGTGTGGGTGGAAATGAGCCTATATTTTGTCAAGAAGAAACAGCATATCTATCGAGAATTCTTGCCGAATCTATCAACAATTTGAAACGCAAACATCACAAATTTTCCATAAGAATAAATATTTTCTAGTCGTGACCATTACGGTTATTTGTTGATGTGAGAAAAAGATTCGTTTATTGAAAAAATTCAGATTTGAAAATAATCACACATTAAAAGTTCTTTTCAAATAGAGAAATATATTGTTCTCATGTTTGAAAGTATCAGTATGAATCAGTATGCAGCACCCGAACACAACACTTTGTATAATTCCATTCAGGTTGATAAAATGAATCATATTTCTATTTGAGACGTAAATAATGACTAAGAGAGCGAGAGAAGGAGAATTCATCTTTTTTAAAACGCACTTTTCTTTCTGTTCTGTGCCGCTGACGACGACTAAATACTTTTGTGACTCGCATGTTTTGCACGTGACCTGTAAGTCAGAAAAGTTCGTCGTCTTAATCACGCATTGAAGAATAAAAAGAATATTTATAAAGAAAAAAAGGAAACTCTTGCTCTGCATCTTATTCTATCTTAATCCTGAAAAATTGATCAAGTGGAATGAAGACACTCTCATAGTTAGATTCTCAACTAGATGATTTCTGGTTGTATTTTCAATTAGTCCTTTTGGACGGATCATGGATTGGATAATTACCGTTTGAAACAATAAGTAGATATTCTGTTGTTGTAGGTTCTTGTACTAGACTTTACAAATTTGATAAGGTTCATTTTTTTCTTGAAGTCAAAGTCGCATCTTTGAGATATTAGCCTATCCAAGTTGTGTTTGCATGATGACTCAATTCACCATGCAATCCAGTAGCAAACTATGTACTGTAGTTCTATTGAAAAAACTAATTCCTTTAGGAATAATAGTTTGAAGAAAATGACGAGAAAATAGCAATTTTTCATGCTTGTCGATCAAAGTTATGTTCATTTTCTTGAAACTATATTCAGATGAAAAAGGCAGTAGTATAAAAAAAATACTTTACATTGTAGAGAATTTTCGGTGCTATCAGAATATCTAATTACTTTTTCAAAAGATGATTACTCAAGCAATGATCCATTTCAATAAAGGCTCTTTTGCAATACAATTCTGATTGTATTAGAATATAAGGGAGGTGCGGAGTTTTATAAGATGTTTCAGAGAATTTTCATAGGGTTGGTCGATTCTATTTCCAAAAAACTTAGAAAAATTCTCTTTTCTTCTTTGTGATGAATAAGGAAAAGCCCAAAATTGGTCAATCAAACTTACAGAAGATTCTTTTTTCGTATGAGCTAATACATAAACTTTTAAAGCGTTCCTTGATAGTGGATGAAAAGAGAGTTCGTTGTGTATAAAAAAAAAATTACTTCTTCGCAACATCAGGATTCACTCACTTAGAAATCAGTCTATTTTGAACACTAAAGATACATATATAAATAAGCTTTCCATTGTAGATTGTAGACTGTTTCATGCTGCATCTCTTGATATACTTTCTTTTTTCGAGGAATATTTTAAGCATTTATCTATTAGATCATACGAAAATAGAATCTTCTGTAAGTTTGATTAACCAATTTTGGGCTTTTCCTTATTCATCACAAAGGAGAAAAGAGAATTTTTCTAAATTCGACCAAGACTTTTGAATCATTCTTTATCATTAATGTCATACTTTCAACATTAGAATAGTTAAAACAACTACACATTAAAATAAAATGTGCCAATATGTTACAACAAGCACCTTCTGTCGCACTTTTTCTCTATGTATCATATATTTTGTGTTCTCCATTGATTGCCTATAACAACTGGTAAAGAACGCCAAAGATACGAGACATAGAAAAAAGAAGTGCGATAGAAGGTACTCGTTGCGAGACATCGACTCATATTATTTTACAGTGGAAATATTAAAGATTTCGTTTTATTTTCCTATCCAGATTTCTAGCTAAATATAACCTGAAAAGAAAAAAATGGACCGCTGTCAAGCAGAAAAAAAAACGCCCAGCGATGATGTTAATGACGCATAGAGTATTACTCAGTGCATAATGTGAAGAATAAGAAAAAAAAGAAATAACGTCTTTTTTCAGTGCTAATCAGAGGAGAGACATACGAGTGTTGTCATCATCATCATCGTAATCTAATTTTTTTTTCTTCAAAGATTAGCAAATCATGGTAACAAATCTTAAAGATTTGACATACATCGATTTTAATAATGATTGGAAATGTTATTGTCAACAATCAAATGATAAAACTGATGAAAAAACTATCGTTACGACTGCAAATAATAACAATATAGATCAATATTGGTCGCCTATTGAATTGCCACATATTATCGATACGATTAAACATGATAAACGGTCTTGTAAATGGTGGTATCGAAAACATTTTGATTGGACATTAACAAGTGAACAATGTGAACAACGAGTCTATCTTAATTTCGAATCATTGGATAAACATGATAAACAATCTAATATCAATGCTATTATATGGCTTAACAGTGCGCAAATATTTTCAGGTTTATTAGTATTATTGAAGGATCCAATTGAATTATCTTCAAAGTTATTACATAATGAAACCAAACATCATAATATCTTAGTTATTTGTTGTACCAATACAAATCTTTTTCTTCATGCTTGTCTTGTTATTCATGGTCAGGTTGTTTGTGCTACAGGACAAGTCATTATAGATGAAAGACCCCTTGATGAATATAAAAATTCAGATGAAACATCAAATAATATTCTTGATTATAGAGCTAGTGTTGATGATGGTGATGGACGTATTAATGTTACATTTAATCCCAAGCGAACATCAATAGTTACATCAACACCATTAAAACATTTTTCTCAATCGATTATAAATGAAAATCAACTAAACGAAGTCAATGATGATCTTCTTGTACCTCGTGTATCTATTGTCATACTTATAGTTGGTACAAGAGGTGATGTTCAACCATTTATTGCGTGAGTTCAATAAATCCGTTTTTTACTTTGCATAAATTTGATTTTATATTTGTTTTTTAGTCTTGGTCAAAGACTTCATGCAGCTGGTCATCGTGTACGATTAGCAACACATGAAACATTTCGATCCTTTGTTCGTGGTAATGGTCTAGAATTTTATCCATTAGCTGGTGATCCAGCTGATTTAATGTCATTTATGGTAAAAAATTCTGGAATTATTCCTTCAATGAGTAGTATTATTGAAGGTGATGTAGGACGAAAACGTCAGTCTGTTGCCGATATTCTTGCATCAACATGGCAAGCATGTATAGCCGATGATGATGAAACAAACTTATCATTTATAGCTGAAGCAATCATTGCAAATCCACCATCATTTGGTCATATTCATTGTGCAGAAAAATTACAAATTCCTTTACATATTATGTTTACTATGCCTTGGTCACCAACAACTGTCTTTCCACATCCACTATCAAATATTAATAGTTCAATTGGACCAAAAGACAAGATTAATTTGTATTCGTATGATGTCATTGAAATGCTAGTAAGTCAATGAAAGAAACAAATAGTTTTTTTTATGAAAAATTTCTTGATCATTTTATTTTCAAGACTTGGACGGGTGTGCGTGATGTTGTGAATAATTTTCGTAAGAAAACATTAGGTCTGAGAGAATTGAATACAGGACAAGCAATAAATGTATTAATTGATGAATGTGTACCACATTCTTATTGTTGGTCACCATCACTTGTTGCAAAACCTAAGGATTGGGGATCACATATTGATGTTTCTGGCTTTTTCTTTCTTAATCTTGGTACTGCTTATACTAATCCACCAAAAGATCTATTAGAATTTCTTGGAATTAACAATGATCTCCATCAGATAGATCGTCAATTACCACCACCAATTTATATTGGTTTTGGTTCTATCACTGGTCATGATTCTCGTCGTATTTTGAGAATTGTTATTGATGCTCTTGATCGAACTATATATCGAGCTCTATTATCTGGTCTTGCTTCAGATACAGATCATCTACCTTCTAATATATTCAAAATTGGCAATGTACCACATGATTGGCTTTTTCAATATGGTAAGTAGAATTTTTTTTTATTTGTTATTAGCTGTATTATTAATATCGTATTTTTTTTATAGTATCAGCTGTATGTCATCATGGTGGAGCAGGTACAACAGCAGCTGGTTTACGTGCTGGAAAACCAACAATTATTGTACCATTTTTTTGGTGATCAATTTTTTTGGGGTAGAGTGATTGAAAAGAGTGGGGCTGGTCCACGTCCACTACCCGGCAAATCGATTACTGTTGATCGATTGGTTGAAGCTTTTCATTTTGTTCATAAACCAACAACACGTGCTGCTGCAGAACGTATTCGTGATGGTATCTTGAAAGAAGATGGATGTGCAGCAGCAGTGCATGCATTTCATTCTAATTTACCTTTAACACGAATGTATAGCGATTTAGAACCAACATTTGCTGCTTGTTATCGTTCAGATAAATATAATATACAAATATCACGTCCCGTTGCTCAAGTACTCGTAGCAGCAGGCGCTCTAGAAGAATCAGAACTTCGTCCTCATGTCGTACGAAATTGGCAATTTATGCATGATCATCGAATGCATTTCCTTACTCATGGTCTTATTAAACATTCACAAGAAGCTTTTTCAAGTATGTTCATTGATACTGCTGCGGATTTAAAACGTGCTGCTAATAATGACAATGCAGCTATAGGAACATTAGAAGGTGTTGGAAGTGTTACAAAAAATGTTGGCCTAGGTATTGGTCATTTAACGATTGGATATCTGTCATTATATGGTGAACTAAGCGATGCACTCGATCGTTTTACTTTTATTTATGATCCATACAGGTAATATCCTTGTTAATAATCATCATATATGCAGAAAAAATAATATTTAAATTCGTTGTAGTGATGCGAAGGCACATCCACGACCAAGAGTCACCGATTTCAAATCGGGTGCCAAGGCAGCTGGTCTAGCCTTATGGAATGGCTGGAAAGATGGAATGACGGGCATTGTAAGGCAACCACGTGCCGGTTATCAACGACATGGTGCATTAGGTGGTGCTGCCGGAACATTAATAGCGACTGTCAATATTGGTATGAAACCTGCAGTAGGTACAATGTCATCACTCACGTGGCTTAGTCGAGGAACTTATGCTAGTGTGAGAAAGGCAATAGAAACTTATAGAAATGAAGGACGGCGTATTTCAAGAAAATTATTCGATTCAGCATTATCAACACAAGACAATGAACAATTACAAGTAGATGATGATGAAGGAATCTCATCAGCTGCTAAAACAGCAGCAACTAAATCAGGTTTTCATCCAAAAGTATGCCAACATATTCTTGATGAATTTGAAAAAATTAAAATAGAACATGAACGAAAAATGGCTTCTTCAATGAAGAAAGCAAAGAGTATATCCAATTTCTTTTCCAATACTAGCGAAACGTTAAAAGCCTTATCATCGAATAGACGTCCAAATTCATAGGGTGGGTGTGAGTGAAAATAATGGTGAATAAAATAGCGACGACTACGTTCTCCCTTCCAGATTCCGTTCACGATTGTTCTCTATACGCTAGTTTTGTTCTGTATTTTTATCAGTATTATACGAGCACATACTGCTTTCTTTCTGTGCTTTTATCATTTGTAACAGTAATATGTTTTTTTCTTATCTTAGTTGCTGTTGTGTATATAATAAACTCACCGTCTTTATGTATTTGCTTCCTGACATTTTTTTGTAGTAGACAGTGTTAAAAATATGTCCGAAGAATTGATTCTGTATCACTATCCACAACTACCCTTCGCCGAAAAAGTACGAATGGCAATGGGTTTGAAGAAGTTGAACTGGCGTTCTGTGATCATTGATCGGATACCTCCACGATCTTACCTTGAGGCTCTAACAGGTGGTTATCAGCGTGTACCAGTACTTCAGGTGGATGCTGATGTATATTGTGATGCACATCTCATTTTGCGAACACTCGATCGGCTTCGACCCGATTCTCCAGCACTCGTTTCAACGCACATCTTGCGTGGCTCATCAGTATGCTGGATGATGACCGTGAGTTTCTACTAGGAGATTCATCACCATCTTCACTCGACATTACAGCCTATCACATAATCTGAGTGATAAAAAACAATTTGGAAAATGAAACGAAAGATCTCTTACCAGGGCTGTCTCAACCTAAATTAGTATCGTGGTTCGAGCACATTGCTGCGTTGGGTCATGGCACAAGCAAAGAGATAACTTCGGAAGAAGCATTCGATGTAGCTATACTTGTCGAACCAATCGAGACAAAGTACATAGAAAACAAAAAGAGTGAATGGCATGTAGGCCAACGGCTACAAGTTACACCAGTCGAAGGAACATTCGTTGCAGCAGATGATTATGAAATCGTACTTCGTCGGTCAGATGAAAAAGCAGGCAACATTAACATTTATTTTCCTCGTGCTGGATTCGATGTCATTCCAGTCTAACATAAACTTGAGAAATTTACTTACATCTATGTCATTAATAATGAAGTTGTGAAGGAAAAAGTTAAATTATTGGCAAGAAGAACATCATCCAAATAGTGGATGTGTGGTGGGTGTGGATTTGAGAATGAGTGATAAAAAGAGGAACAGCCACATACCGACACCCACATTCACACCCTCGAATAAGCAATAATAAGTGAGTGTCGATATTTGCTTGAGATCGAGTGACGGAAAAAAAAAGAAACAAGATTAAGTACAATTGGTAAACAAAAAAAACATTCGCATCCGAAAGGGAAATTATTTAATGTAGTTAATTTTACAAGAACTAAATAAAACAGTGCAGAAAGAGAGATATAGTCAATAATTTTAGTTGACTGTTTGTTTCGATATACAATCGAACTCTATGACTATAATTGAAAAGACTTTGAAATTACATTTCATCTTCATCACTTTCTGTTTCTTCTGCCATGTAATAATTAGATTGTTGATGAGATTGTACCATTGATTCTTCCTCACTCGACGAATCACAATCAAATATTACTTCTGGATAATCTTTATGATATATAAATAACAACAAACTTCATTCAATAGTCAATATTTCACTCATTTCATGCATTTTTTTAGACAATTCCTCAAGGATATAATTGATTCGACATCTCGATGTGGCTCTGATTGTTTACATAGACGAATTTCTATACTTTTATCGTACATTTTAATTGCTTTGGCATAATCACCTTTCTTATAAAAAATTCCACCTATAAGCTCATAAGGATGGGTGTGGGTGTTTATATACCTCTCGCGTCCACACCCACACCCACACTCCAGTATAGTTTATATAAAAAGAAACTGCTGACGACATAGTTCTGTCATCGAATAATGCTCTGTTCGAGTACACATGCTGTAATCAGATAACAGTGAAGATTTATTGTAGTATGATCTTTAGTTTTTAATCGCCCACTGGAAAGGAATGAAAAATGCATGGAAATATTTTAAGATTCAACATAATAGTCAGATACGATCTGATCATAATTGAAGATCGAGACCTCTAGCGAGAATTTTTCAATTGGTACTAACAGAACTGAGCTTTGCCGGCGTGGTGAACTATGTATCTACCACCCACACCCTGATAACATGTTTTCTTTCAAAACAATTCGTTGTGTGGACACTTCCAAAGTCAATTAGATGAATAAGTGACTTCTTGTTGTTACTTTTCTCCAATGTTCTTCTGATTCAGATTTAAACAATGAGTTGTCATCGAACAAAAATAGAACTGAATATAGTCGTGAGATCGACGCCTTTTATGATTATGTTGTTCTAGAATTTCAATCGGAAAATGTAGCTCATAATTTTTTGTTCATAAATAAGTCATTTTCGTATGGAACGATTGTTTCAGAGAAAGAAAAGGAAAATGAAACATAGAATCAAAATTGAATTATTTGATAGATAAACAATTTCACCTAGAAAATGCTTGTTTATTTCTGAGGAATCTGACAAACAAGATATTGTTGTGGATTCAACCTTGAAAAAACAACATTTTCTTGACCTTGTAACAGTTTAGAAAACTGAAATCTCTTTTTTTGACAGACTTCAATAGGCAAAAATTTTGACTAGTGTTGATCTAATAAACGATCTTGGACTTGTTAGATCAAATGTAATGCTTCAGACACTTAACATAAAATTGTGGTTGACTGTCGATCACGGCTTATCTCTTTCTTTTTCATCGACGTTCTATTCGAAATACACAAATATAGAAATTGTGTAATATTCCTTTCGAATTCAACTGGATTCGGTGAAGAAACTGATTATAAAATGAACATATTTGTAATGACGCAGTTCAATTAGATCGTATGATGTTTGTTTGCAGCTGTTGTCAAACTCACTTTTCAAGGATTCAATCGGCAATTTTTCAGAAAATTCATTAATTTGAATATGGCATGTCGATGTGAATGAACGGTATCTTCAAGCTCACATCGCACATCAGGACCCACACCCTAAGAAATCGTAATGTTTAATTGAATCTGATAAAATCCGATAATTTGAAAATATTTACAAGAAATATCATGCTCCGTCGTTGTTTATTGACTAAAATATTTTCAAATATTGATAAATATTTTCTGAAAATTGATTCTACTTTGATCAAAATTTCTTTTAGAAAATTTGACTTTATTGATACTATTGCACATTTCATGTTTATTTTGCTATGAGTTTTAGTGTTCTCTTTCTGATTGTAAATATTCAGAGTTTTTTTATTCATGTTTTTTAAATATAAAGTAAATGATGAATGACGTAGTAACATTGTAAATAACTTGTAAATTGTTTCAAATCTTCATCTTTCATAATCTGGTAAAAATAATAAAAAAAAGATGTTGACTATGTTTGTATGTTATCCATTCAAATCTGATATTTCAATGCTAGAATTCAAAACAGAAACAGGAAAGAACTCAAATGCTATTATAAAACAAAGTGATTTTAATAAATACTTACTGAATATAGAAATATAAATGAGTCTTTTAAAAATATGAAAAAAAAAAGAATGAAAAATAAAGGTTACTCGCTTATTAACACAAGCTCTATCCCATATCAATTAAATTATTAGATAAATAAAATAACAAACAGAATAACTGATATTCAACATCATTGGCAATTATTAATAATGAATAATTACTGAAAGAGATGTAAGTCATCTTGACATCAACATCATCGAAGAGAAAATAGAAAGAACTTTTTTTTTCTTTCGTTCTGTGGCTAATGCATTTTTCTGTTGTTATAGCGACGTTTCTTAGTCGTTCTTCTTCTTCTTCTGCACAGCATATTTTTGCCTATCTTTAGTAATATTTTTTTTTTCTCTTGTTTTAACGATTTTTCTTATTAAAAGTAAATTACTTATAATACAAATAGTTTTATAGTCACCATGATTCACGCATCCATTCTTGTACCATTCTTTTTTCAATATTTCTTATGTTGTTTCTGTTCTCTATATACTAAAGAATAACTCAGGGTAAAAGAAGACATAAAGTGGCTCCTAATATAATTCATCAAGGTTTGTTTTCATGTTTTTCTTGCTCCCAAAAATACTAATAAGAATCCAAATAACTAGTAATTTGCTTAGAGAATTTTATTTGGAAGAAGAATCTTTTTTTGCACAGAATGATATAACAAACAATTCTCTATAAAAGAAGTCATATTTCAGTTGTCGAAAATGGTTTTTGACCCGAATATAAAAGCTTTCGACAGACTTTAAAGATAATTTTTCTCCTAGTTCATATTTAGAAGTCATCTTTGTTCCTTCCATAATACGGATGTATTTTGGCCAAACATTGTCTTAAAAAGCTGAAAGTTGTTTCATTTTGTAGAGAATTGTTGAATTCAAACAGGATTCTATTTGTATATTAAAAGAGACGAAAAAAGAAATCGTTTGTTTAAATTTTTAAGAAATCCTATTCTGTAAAGACTCGTAGTTATTTTCGTCGTCAAAAGTTCTTGTTTTAAATAAAATTACTTAGATAACTATAAAGCTTAAAATAAACTCTGTTGAGAGTTACTATGAGCGATTTGTCAAAGTAGAAACAAACTAGGCGAGTTATTTTTTCATTTACCTTGAGACAGTCATAATTTATTATTTGATAATTTCTTTTTCTAGTTCGTATGCATTATATAAAAAATTGTATGTACATGACATGCGTTTTATTTGGGTATTAACGTATTTGCTTCTTATGAAACAAAAAACAAGTAAACGCAGAATACACACAGAACAAGTTACAAAAAAAAATTTTAAGTTTTCACAACTTATTTCGAATTTTCTGTCTAAGTAAATGATGTAGATATGGCATCTTCTTCTCATCAGTATCAATATTCATATTTTCTATGCAGATTTTTCCAAGAAAATCGTGCATCTCCCCAAATTTTTTCTACTTCAGAATACCCGTGTCTACACCTGCACCCTAGTAATAATCATTTCTTTCATTAAATTTCAATTGATTGTAATAATTCAGATTAATTCAGGTAGTCAATGAAATTTTTGATTAAAATCAGTTGAAAAAATAATAAAAATTTGATTAAAAGTGTATAGTTTTCAATAAGAGAAAACGAAAGATTACAATTCAACATTTTCGGTCATCGAAAGTTTTTTTTTTCTTTTAGATAGAATATTTCATTAATTCAAAATAATTTCAGTTTTAGTGTAAAAAGTTCATAGAAATGAATGTAAACGAAGCTGACGAGAAGATGAATACATCAAATAACGACCAAATAGCACCATTATTACCTACAACACTCAATAGTGCAACAGGATTAAATTGTTTAAAAACGATTGATTCATTATATATTAAACAACTCCCTTCTATGAGTGAAAGTAAATCAATTAAAATAATTCATTTAATTTGAAATTTCTTTCATTTGTAAACTATTATTCAAGTTATATTTGGTATCGCATCTGAAGCTAAATTTGATATTTATAGTGATAATAATGTACGAATATTACAAGCTTTAGAAAGTAAGTTAATAGGAATTTAATAGTGTTTTGTTTTACCTTTGAAAAGCTTCATCATTTTGGCAACGTTTCTGTTGTACAACAAGACGACGTTTTACATTGCGTATCATGGACAATAATAATCAGGTGAACAGAATTCATTAAAAAGATTTTTATAAGAATATTTTCTCGGACATAATTAGGATGTTATTATTATGAAACGTGAATTCAAATGTTGCTCAGGATGTTGTTGGTGTGCTAATGCCAAATGTTGTAGTCAAGAAGTGATGGTCGAATCACCGCCTGGAACATTCATTGGTTATGTATCGCAACAGTAAGATTAATTTTCAATAAACAAAAAATGAGACTGATTTCATTAAGTATTTATTATTAAGGAAAAGTTGTTGTCGATCTATTTTTGCCATAAAAGATAACAATGATAATCATGTTCTCACTGTACGTGGTCCCTTAGCATTGTGTGATGGACCATTGAGTTGTCGTTGTGAAAATAAATATATAGTAAGTCATAATTTTAAAATTTTAGTTCACATTTTCTACGAACTGTATTCTATTAAAAGTTAATTGGTACAGATGGAACTACAGAAGTTGGATTTATTCAAAAAAAATATCGTGGTCTTTTGAAAGAATCATTTACAAGTGCCGATGCATATTTACTTAAAAGTAAATTTATTGATAAAAATTAAAAAATTCTCTTCGTATATCTATCGGTTGTAGTTCCAATGGATCTCGATGTTAAAATGAAGGCAATATCACTCGCTGCTCTGTTTCTCATTGTAAATGTGTTTTTTTTGTTTACAATAAGTATTTTCTGATTGTTTTTTGTTATTATTTGTTGTAGGAATATATGGTTTTCTCAGCTGTTCCAAGTAATAATTGATTCATCTAGAATATTTTCTCTCATATTCATTTACTTAATTATTCTAACGTTTTTCTCAATTATATCCATCGATCACATTTTTATTTATTGTTTGAATTCATGTCTATCAATAGTTTCAATAAACTTTAATTTTCATGATTGGTATTGCCTTTCGGTTTTATTATGAATCTATCTACTATTGAACTACTATTTAATATCTATCAAAATATAGGATACCATTGATCAATATTGCTTCAGTAACAAGATTCATTTTCAAATTATAAACGAGTCAAAGTGCGTCTGAGAAATTTTTTGTGATAAGACACTATGTAAAAGGCATGTTGCAGCATAAGGATAGAATTTTGCACTTCGGTCAGACCGTAATGAGCATCTTACCAAGTATATCTTTGAAGGTCCAAATAACAGCTGTATATACTGAATTACAAGTACAATACATACTTTTCCCATTTAATAATTATTTGTCATTCCAGTCTACTGTACATTGTTTTTATCTGCCAATCATTATCAAAAAACAGATGACGTTTAAAGGTATAGCACACCGAATCATTCTATGAATCTACACGAAGACTTTCAATGTATCTACAATCTTCATGTGAAATGAAAGAGTTGAGTGTACCATGATTAAAGTTATTGTCTGCTGATTGATTAGTTAAATCTATTTGATTAGTAACCTCTATATGATTAAACAACAATCAAAGGAACATTAGTAATCATAAGATTTTCTCATGCATCTTTTGGAGATGTTTGAGTCAATGAAATATGCAAGTCTCTTGTGCGAGAATATTTCTCAACATCGATCAAAATTAAAAATGTTGGTAAATATCCTCGAAAGGTGTGGGTATGTTTGTGAATGAGAAATAGAACATCAATAGCCACACACTCATCCACACCCTTCTTTCAGTTTTATTGTTTCCTACGTTCTAAGTTCCTTCATGGTATCTCTTTTTCGACCATATGAGATGATTTCCTTACCAATTATCGAAACAATAATATAATCTACAACATATTGAGATGCATGTGTTGCCATATGGATTCATGCATGCACATACTTGCATTTTAATGTGTGCATAAGCCTTGTTTTACAAACATGAAACACGACCACTGGAAAAGAAATTTTACAATCAAATGTAATATATAAAGCCAGACAAATATACATTCATTTCCCAGTAGGCAAAATATAAATCACATATTCTACATTATGAACACGCATTTCTGCACAAAGTACTTTTAAGCACCCTCTTCACACATTATCGATGGAATTAGTCTATCGTATACTTGATCATCTTAACATTTTCACACTTTTATGCCCGATGCAAAGTGTTTGTAGACGTTTCAATGACATCCTCAAGATCTATACTCGATATTAAGTAACATTCTTTTTTATTAAATGTTCTTTGAAACATTATTCATATGACAATATGTCATATATTGCTGTTGTCTTTTGCTTACTACACAGCATGACATCAAAAGATGTAGATCGAAAGTCTGATTGTAAATATTCAACTCTTCTCATTTCAAGGAATAGGCCCCAATCATACAGTGAATTTCAGCGATTCACGAGAAGATGCGAGCAAATGACATGCATCTACAAAACTCTTCACTTTTTTCTAGAAAAATATTAAGAAACTATAGATATAGAACATATCCAATGAGTTAGATTTTAAAAATCATTGCTGTAATAATATTAAAAATTAAACAAAGAAGCACTGATCGTCCATTACACAAAATTATATATAATTTAAACAAGAACATCAACCTTTCATGACTTTTTCCAAGCAAAAGTTCAAAACTCTCTCCCAAAATAGTGGATGATCAACATTTTAGAAAACAAAAAACAACGAAACAGACCTCTGTTGCACTGGATAACTAGATAGAATCAATAGTCTTCAAGAAAAACATGAACATCGGTTATTATATATTACGTTTATTAACAGCAATCATAAAAAAAAAACAATCTCTCAGAGTACTTTCAGGAAAAAAAGTAAATGAAATATTTTTCAATACACCAAATTCTATTTTTTTCCTACAACAAGTTTTAACTTTTAAATATTCAACTATCATATTCTGCAGTCAATCATTCATTATCCAATGTTTTATTGTATGTTAGGGTTTCAAAAAAATAAGCGTGAAATACAAACAAATCAAGGACGAAAACGCTCTATTTTTCGCAAATGCTCTACAATACAACCAAGTAATATTTTTACTTTTTTTCTTTTTCATCTCGCATTGATCTACTTTCAACTGCAGTGACTGATTGAGTTCAATCTTTATCTCAACGGAATTCACCATCAAAGTGTAGATTAAATTATTGATGCCCTACGACAAAACAAGGTACTTTCTCTCATTTCATTAATTGTATTCAATAATCTACTTTCCTTGTTTCATAGACACTTACCACATTGAAACTCGATCTGAATTACATCTGCGAACAAGGAGCATAGCACATTGCATCACTCACTAATAATCTCATATAGACTCTTACCATATTGAATATTGGAAGTAATTGTATCGGTGTCTCAGGAATACACTATATTGCTGATACTCTGCGAGAAAATTAGGTAATGCATTCTTGCAGTTTTCTCTCGTTCTATCACTCACTTATTTATTCACATAGACACTCACAACAATAGTTCTCTGGTGCAATCAGATCAGTGAAGAAGGGATGCAACACCTTGGTGTAGTTCTACGACAAAATTAAGTAACATAATCCTTTACGTAGTTCTAGTTTTACCACTAATTTAATGCTTCATAGAGGTACTTACCACGCTAACCATATATGTAAATAATATGGGTACTGTAGGAGCAAAGCACATTGCAGATGTTCTACGACAAGATCAGGTGATATCGTCCTAGGTGTAGTTCTCATTTTGTTTCTGATCTAATATTTCACACAGATACTTAGCATATTGGACATTTGCCGCAGTAAAATCGGCAATCAAGGAGCAGAACTGTTTGGAAACAGTCTGCAACAGAATCAAGTCTTATTATGCGTTTATTGTACTATACGTTTTCCCATTTAGCATATTCGAAAGACACTGACTGCACTGAATCTTAACTTCAATGAAATTGGTGATGAAGGAATACAACACCTTGGCAATGCTCTACGCCAAAATCATGCAATATTCTTTTCCTTCATTTTCTCGTTTTTTTGGATAAACTGGTTGAAGAAATATTATGAAGTTTCGTGAAACTTTCGTACTACTTTATAGTATTGAAAAAATCCATGAAACCTAACTAAACGGATATCGTCTCATATGTTTCTTATAATATCTTTTCAAGTATCAACACTAGAAAACTGTTTTCTTGCATGTGTATGCCTCCGAAATGTATCTTAGTATATTATTCTGGGAAACATCAAATTTGTCGAATACAAAAAATGTCGATCGCAAATTTGTCGATAAAATTTGTCGAAAAAAAATTTGTCGATTCGACAAAATTGAAATCCAAATTTGTCGAATTCGACAAATTTTATTAAAAAATGTCGATTATTGTATTATAACGTTCCTTTCTATGAATTTCAAATTCAATTATGACCACCTAAAATCTAACTTAAAATCAAGTTGAAAATCATGTTGAAATCAAGTTGAAATCAACCTGGAATTAAGTTGGAATTCACTTGGAGGGTGTGGGTGTGGGTGTGGGGTGGGGTGTGGGTGTGGGTGTGGGGTGTGGGTGTGG